TAATGATTTCAGCTTACCGATCAGAAAAGAAAGGACAAAAAAGAAGAAAGAAAGGCAAAAATGAAGAAGAAGAAAGGGGAAAAGAAATGGGGGAAAAGAGGTAAAGAAAACAAAAAAAGCAAAATATAAGGGAAAATGGGGGGAAAATAAGACAGAGAACAAAGAGAAAATAAAAGAAAAGAAAAGAGAAAAAGAAGAAGAAAAAGAAAAAGGAAAAAGAAAAAAAGAAAAAGGACAGAGAAGAAAGAAAAGAAAAAAGAAAAAGGAAAAGGAAGGAAAGAAAGAAAGGAAGGGAAAAATAAAAGAAAACTGTCCAAAGATGTACCAAGTTTACTTGTCCAGTATTAACGGAAATAACGCTTTTCAGAGAATACCATGGTAGACCATGCAGTATCATGGTCACGTTTGTGTTTTCAGCTGAGCAACAAGTGCAAATGTGAGCATTACTAACTAATAAATCCAAGAAGGAATAAACCATTGTTTGTATGCTACCGTATTGGATAACGTTATACGCCATTTCGTCCGGGGGCGATATCACAGGTAATACTGAATGCAGGTACTAGTTCGAAAAGATCTTGTTATTTTTTCTCATCTTTAAGCTGTCATCATCAAAACAAAAATCTGTGTCCAGCGCAGCTGGCCGACTTTGGAAAGATATTATGTTGTGTAGCATTTACGGGGGTTACCACAAAAAATGGGTTACTGATTTATCGGTTAAATTTTTGAAAAATATTTCTGACATGTTTCAAATGTACATTTTACAATAGTAAAAAGCTATTTTAAAATACAAAGGTGGTTAAATTAGCATTTTTTTGTAAAATCTACGTAAACCACGCCAAACACTTTTTTACTACAACATTGATAAATCAGCAATTTCACTTTTTCCGTGTTTTAAGACATACTTCGTCTAGTGACCCATTTGGACAGGTTGTTGAGATGTGTCGATTTTCAAAAAAAATTATAGGACAAAGTTCAAAGAATTAAACAGTTAAACTCTGCCGTGAGAGAGAGAGAGACTTGGGGAAAAGGCTGCGTGAGCATTCAAATTTTGTCAAATTTCTTCCAATAAATTAATCATTTTTCAGAAAAGTTATGAATATTTTTCCTTGACGTTTTCTGGGACGCGGGATTAAACTGCAAATGAAACACTTGTTAGTATAGTTCAACGACACAGGAAGAGCGTACAAGTTTTCGAACAAAAAATCTTATTTCATTAGAAGAAATATGACAGCGTCCGCGAAAAAATTATTCGTTTTCCCCGCCAGCACGACAGTACTCGTGATTGATTCACTTTCATCGGTACCACTGGGCACTGAAAGTCGAATTTTCGAACGAATTAAAAAATTAACCAGGAGAAAGACGCTAAATATTCGACTTTGTCGTCAGAAATTCGTCAGATTACTCGAAACAGCTTTTAGATACATCTGCCAATTTGGAGTTCCATGTATGTATCGTGTATTATAAGCTATTTATGTATATATTCTGGTGATTAGTTAATTTATTAGATGAATGTAGGGTTTTCCACATCAACCGATTTAAATTTAATCAGATAGATTTGCTCAAAAAGGTTATAGTATTAATTTATGGTTTAAGGATTGCTGGATTTCCTCCTTCTCTTGGATTTCTTTCTTTCCTTTTCTTGGTACGTATCGCAATTTTTGCGTTGGTTCTTAAATTCTTTGCAGATTTCTTGCAAGTTTAGTATAATGTGAGGACCTTGATGGATAGAATTGGTCATGAGTCTTGGTTGCCTTGAATAATTGGGTTGTGTATGTGCGCTGTGATTGTACAGGGAAAATCTTTCGTACTTTGAGTGCCCTTTCAGACATTTACACATGCAAGCTTCATAAATTGCAAGGGAAATAAATCCGACCTTTGGGACCCCTACATTTGTAAGAGTTGATGCATAAAGTATACCTGATGCGTGGTCAGTTGCCTCTGTTACAGAATTGTGTTCCATGGTTTTAACTTATTGTTTGGCAAAAATGAATAAGATTTGCAACGCTCGATCTCCGCGTTCAATGTTCACGGAGCTATCGCCTATCGTAAAACACAGCCTACGACATCATCCACGGAAGAGATGCATTAAGTAGTTTCTTTCACCATAGTTTCATTAATGTTTTACGTTGAACAACCAGTGAAAGATGTGAGCTCATTGATAAAACAAAGTAAAAGAAACCATAGAATGCACTAGCGCGGAGGATGCCGTCATACGTTGATTTTTCAAAGGCCTACATTGTGAGCAGACGACCCAAATTCCCAGACAAAACCATCGTTTTCTTTCTTGAGAAAAACGATGGTTCTAAGCTTCGTTGATATTTGCGTAGAAACCTGGCACTGGTACGGGTCTTAATAATTTTCGATGATCTGTACGTTAGGCCAGCAAAACAAAAATCTGTAACTAGACCGACTGGCCAACATTGACATTAATTAACATTGGCCGTTTGATAGGCCTGCTAGGCCAGCAAATCCTTGCCTTACCTTTTAGTTGCGTACCCAATCAGTTCTTCAGTCCACCTCTTTCCGTCCCCATTTAGCGGATATTTACCCTTGTCTCTAACTACATAAGCAAGCCAAAAAAATTTATATTGATAATTATACTGCGTTGTACTGTGTGTTTATTCGAGATTTGGGCAACAGCATTTTAAAAATAATAATTATAATAATAATAATAATAATAAACATGGTGTGAGCAGAAAGGGTGCCGCAAAGGAGCTAAAGGGTGCCTTGACCAACTCTTAATATCCAAAACCATCATTGAGGACTGCAGGAAGAACAAGAAGAACCTATCGATCGCATGGCTGGACTACCAAAAAGCCTTCGACAGCATGCCCCACAGCTGGATCATCCGTGCACTGGAACTCATGGGAGTGCACCCGAATATAGTATACGCCTGTAAGAACATGATGGAGCACTGGTCAACATGCATCCAACTAAAAGGAAAAACAGATACAATTATCACCTCTGAAATTAAAATAAGACGAGGAATCTACTAAGGGGACGCGTTCTCCCCCCTTCTGTTCTGCGTTGGATTAATACCCCTCTCTACACGACTAAACAACATGAACAATGGATATAACATCAAGGCAGGCCATAAACAACTGACGCACCTCCTGTATATGGATGATCTGAAAATGTTCAGCAGCAGCGACAAGAAACTGCAAAATCAACGCGAGACGGTGAAAGAATTCAGTGAAGACATAGGTATGAAATTTGGCCTAGATAAGTGTGCCAAGGTAACCTTCAAGAAAGGTGAATACATCCACGGAGAAAACATGAATATAGACGTCGACACTAGCATCCAACAGTCAGACCCAGGTGTAACGTACAAATACCTCGGAATGGAAGAAAGTATAGGTATCCAGCATAAGACGATAAAAGAAAAGCTAAAGAGAGAATACATACGACGAGTAAGAGCAGTACTAAAGACAGAGCTAACGGCAAAAAACAAGATAACTGCAATCGGAGCGCTAGGCGTACCCGTTCTACAGTACGGATTTGCAATTCTGAATTGGAAAAAGAAAGAAATAAAAGCGCTAGACTTAAAAACGAGAAAGTACTTGACAATGCATAAAATGCACCACCCATCCGCAGACGTTGACAGGCTATACGTGAGCAGAAAACTAGGAGGACGAGGACTCAGGCAAATAGAATGAACGTACAAATCTTCCATCATCAATGTGAAGTACTACCTCCAGGAAAAAAAGAACGAAGACCCTTTTCTCAAAGCCGTAAATGCCGTCAATCTTACTCTAGACAAAGACCACATTGCGAAAGAAGCAAACAAATTTGAAGCCGAGCTTGGAGAAAACTTTGAAGTGACCCCCATAAACAGCAGGAGGCAAAAAATCAAAAAGAAAATCTCAGAAAGCATCAGAACCAAATGGAAAGGAAAAATCATGCATGGACAGTATCCACTGATGCTAGAAAATGACTCTTTCGAGAGTAATCTCTCTGCCATCTGGCTCAGTAAAGGTGTACTAAAAGCAGAAACAGAGAGCCTAATTGAAGCGGCACAGGATCAAGCCTTAAACACAAGGTACCGGGAGAGGAAAATCCACAAGAAACATTTGAATAGCAAATGCAGAATCTGCCATCAATTCGAAGAAACCATTGAGCACATAACATCAGGTTGCCCAATTCTAGCCCAAAAGGACTATATCGAGAGACACGACAGAGTATGCACCCAACTTCACTACAGCCTCTGCAAAGAATATGGAATCGAAGTCGACGCAGATAAATGGTATGAACACAAACCGCAAAACACTGCAACAACCAGAGGTGGAGAGACAACGATCCTGTGGAACATCCCTATCAGAACCGATAAAACTGTTGAGGCAAACAGACCGGACATTATCCTACGTAGGAAAGGCCAAAAGTGTCTGCTGATTGACGTCTCGATCCCAGCAGACAGGAACATCACAAAAAAGGAAGCTGAGAGGAAACTAAAGTATAAAGACCTAGAGATCGAAATCAGCAGGATGTGGAAGACCAAAACCCGAGTCATACCCTTTGTGATAGGAGCTACCGGAGCAGTCTCCAAAGACTGGACTAAACTGAAGAACGAAATCCCTGGGAAACATTCGCTAGTATTGGCCCAGAAGTCTGCTGTGTTAGGCACTACCAGAATCCTCCGGAAGGTCTTAAGCTAGGTGGAGCAGCGCGAATACACCTAGAACGTTCCCACACACCAAAAACACCCCTACCCCCTACCACCTTAGGAAAGAAACCCTTAGGCAGGCGTCCTTCAGACACCTACCCTGCCTCGGTTCCGAAAACAGGTATCATAGTCCGTGACGAGCCTTCCCCCGAGGGGGAATAAGATATTCACCACCCGACCACCCAAACCACAAACGGCCCTCATACCTAAGAGCATTGTTTGCCCCTGTGTGAGGGCTTAAAGCAACCCAGCAAAGCTGGTGACAGCAGTAATAATAATAATAATAATAATAAAACGGATAATAAGTATACGAGCAGAATAATAAAATACGACAAGTAAGTAGAACTTTCTTAATTGGCTCGGCAATTTACTTCAAAGTTGTAAAAAATTAAAAAGTTTCGAATCCATTTTCTTTGAGGAGCTAAAAAAACGAAAAATATATTCTTTTCAAAGAAAATATGAAAGCGTAATTGCTTATACTTTATTCATTCCCTCTAAAAAGAGTGGAGTTAGTGATGTAATAATCTATACCAAATGTATCTCTCACCTAAATAAGTCATTAGTCTCTGATATGTCTTTATTATTTATGCATATTATGTATTTTATATATATTAATGGGTCCAGTAAAAGACTTAAGAAAATGGGTGACCAAGGCTAAATAACAACAAACAAAAAGCCTTGGACGTTTTCGGGCGGTTTCAACCCACCTATAGACCAGAAACAAATATATATTTATAAATATCCTCCCCTCTCAAATCGTCCTAGGTTCTGTGCTTATTGCTTTTTTTATCCTTGATTACTCGTTTTCTTGTGTTTTTTAGTTGAATTATTCCGGCTATTTTTGCGTTTCATTTTTAATGGGATAAGTGTATATTTTGTATGAAGCGTTGTGTGTGTGGGCTCACAGAAAATTATATTTTCAAGGTTAAGAACAAGAGATTGAAAAAGTTCCTTAATTCTAATTCTTAAGGTCAAGCTTAAGTCTAAATTTTAAGTCCTAATTTCTTTAGATTAGTTCCCTATCAGGTCTGTAGCACCATCACCAGAATAAGTGTGGCAGACTGCGGCTCGAGATAATTTAAATTCATCATAAGTTTTGAGTGATTTTCTAAAAGAGATACTTTCATTTTTGCTCTTTAGCAGAAGTTTGTTAAATACCCCTTGTCTTTTAGTGGAAAGTTCTTGTGTTAAATTTATTCCGACTTAGCCTAAATTCATTCATTTTGGTACAAAAAATATGCGTATTGATGTTTGAGTCGTTTTTAGACAAGTGGTAGGGATTAATCCAACTTGATCTGAAACGCGTTCGCAGTTGCCTTCCTGACCAGTCGTTACTGGTGTTGCAGATTCTCCAGAGACAAAGAGAGGTCCTCCATTGGCCTCTTGGTTAAACGTGGAAAAATTGACTTGCGGGGATTCAACACTTTCTAGGGGACAATTTTTAGAGAGCAACAGTCATCTTACCTACCAAGTGGGTGATGGGCTTCAGGTGACGTCATGAACCAAAGAGGTTTACCAAACTTCGGTTTGTTTTCAAAATAATATACTCAATGCGTTGTTGAGCATGCACCTAGTAGATAGGTAAACAGCTGAATGTTAAGTCCCGAAAGTAAAGTTCCACCATTGCCAATATACCAAAATGTAAAGGTTCTCTCTTTGTCTTTTTCAAAGAAGGAATATCATACTTGAATCCTTTTTTCTCCCAAAAATGAGAATTTCAGTTGGACAATTCATTTTACCTACACTACCTATGTCTTACAGCATTCTGAGATCCTATTTTTACTCTAAGAGCAAATTGTAAAAGTCTAAGTGGTCAAGGACTTTAAAAAAAATCCCATTTTATTTAAAATTACTTTTTTAAAAACAATTAATAATGTATTATCTTAAAACAATTCATATTATTATCCAAAATTGTTGTATTTGCCTGTCATGGTACCTTCGGAATCTTCAAGAACTAACATTATGCCTGTAGAAATATGCTATGTCAGATCTCCAACTCGCCGTACAGGAACAAGCTGGTACTAAGATAGATCTAATCACGTTATAGATGGATTTTTAAGGATTTATGAACCTAGAATTTTTAAAACAATGGATAATCAAAATCTATGCACGATATTAAATGTTAAATTTTACGAATAGAGAAACGCCTCTTCCGATGCAATACCCTTGCTTAGGTGAGTGGAAAAATGACTCTTGCTATACATGTACCGACGTTTTTTTGCGAGTTGTTATTTTTGTTGATCTAAACGGACTTTTTCTTATTGAAGAACGGAAAAGTCTGGAACTTCCAAGTTCCATAAGATAAATGCAATATTTGACTTGGCAATGCATTTTTTCGGATTCCACAGACATGACACATTCAGTTAATTAATATACCAAAGCGTTGGACTTTCTTATCTTGCAAAACATGAAACTTGCAGAGCATGTACTTCGAAATAAGAATAAAAAGAAAAGCAAAGTAGAGAAAGAGCATTGTTGCGTGTGAAATATATTGAAGAAAAAGTGGAAAGATGCGAAGTTTTCATCAAATTTCCGGCCAAGATCAATGGGAGGGAAGCTAAGACGGACCTTTTTCAATCCTGACTACCGCATGAATAATTTGTAAAATGACAGAAATATTGAATGAAGCCAATATGCACACGTAGAAATGTTATAATCGCATCTTGAAAGAACATTAATTTAACAAACAATTCATACAATATTGATTTCTTTTAGAGCTTCATGAAGATTTATTGTTGCACATGTGCATAAATTAATAAATATTTAAGTATTCTTAAGTCGTTTTTGGTCTCATACATTTCGGACATTGAAAATTAACTAAACTGGTCTTCGATAATGATAATTACAATTGGCATTATTAAAAGCGATGCATGCGACATAAAATGAATTTTTGATCAGGTGCCTCATTACGTAACGGAAAATTTTACTTTACTCAAATGGGAGTAGAAAAGAAAGTCAAAACTGGATCTATTAAACAGTAACTACCTCACTCAAAATTTTGCGCCAAGGTCACATATATCTGGGCCTACGGACCGGTTTTTTTTTATCAATAGACAAAGCTATGGATACAGAGGACACAAGGACAATAAGGCGATCCTTTTGATGGAAACAGGCGATTGCAATGAGCAAATAAGGTACATAATGATAATCAATTACGACCCACGAGCGACCCTATTCTTAGTTAATGATTTTCCCCCATTTGCTATGACAACTACCCGTTGAAACCGATATTATTGCTCCAATTCCGCTACACGTATGTCCTTCGTCTGGCGTTATGTCCATCAATTTTAATAATCATCCTGCAGCTTTGATGCCCATAACCTTTAATAAAAAGAGACCTGGTCTAGAAAATCTATACAAGTTGCTAAGTTCATATAAAAGCATTGAAGCATATATAGCATTTGCTAACACATTCAGATCAAAAGCTTCCGAAAATGTTGAACTCAACCGGTATTATGGTCGGTTAAAGAGGTGTATGCAAAATCGGCAATTACCCCCCCCCCCCCATGGATTTTGACCAATTTTCAATTTATCATTCCTCATTCTAGGATACGCCTTTTTTCAAAATTTCAAGGCCTTTTTTCACAATTTTCAATGCATTTAATTTCACGTAGCAGCGTTGCCAAGTTGAAAACCGTTGAGTTCTATATCTTTCGAACGAAAAAAGAAATAAGGTGCTGTTAGCGCTGAAATTCTTCAAAAATTGCGTACTTTTGAAATATGCAGTCAATTCGATCGTTTCGGTAATACATATTGCAATGCTTTTCCTACTTTCTTCGGGGTCAATTTTTTTTCAGCCCCAGTACATAGTCAAATGTCGGATTCTCGATTCGAACCAGAAAAAAATAATATTCCGATTTCATGTGGCTTAATTTTTCGTACTTTTTCATATACTATACCTTCCAGGGAAACGATTGATACGCGAGATATAAGCTATCAAAGTTTAAGTTTTGTGCGCACCGACTGGAACCTGGGCACTGAAAGTCGTCTACAGACCCCCTCCTTTGCCACCGACACGCTTTACATAAATATTCTTAAGTATTTTTTTTTGCGTACTTTCCGATTCTGGCATTTAAAAAGGTCTTCGACTAATTTTTAGGGGTCTCACAGTACACTGTTGCAATGAGGGCAAGCGCTAGTGAGCCCTCAACCCCAAAATAACCGACCCCCCAATATTCAATCTCCCTGGGTGCCTCGAAGGGGTCCCTGGCCTTGGCCGGGGACGAGCGGATTTCGAACTTGGACGCTGAATCCGGTGTGCTTTTCTTCGAGACAAAATACCGTGGGAAGCCTCGCAGATTCTGGATTACATGGATTTGTCTCCGGAGAGGAGCAGACCGTGTTCAGCGGAAAAGAGGCGAGTTTGCACATGCACTGACGGGCCCCGGCCAATATGACATCAGCGGCCGGAAGTGAGGACTGTCATATTGCTCCCAGCGCTTTTCCAACTACCTATCTCTTTTAGCCGGCC